TTTTCTTTTTTGTAATTTCACATGGTTGTTCGAAAATGGTAGATAGTGCCATTTTGGCTGGCTGGACATAATTTGGAGAGATAGTGCCATTTTGGAGTGAGGTGTTTTCATAACTCTTCTTGTACAGGTTATCATGTAATAACTCTTCTAATTTTTGGTGAGTTATTTTACGTCTCACTTAATAGATTTAACTTTAATTTTAATCTTAATTTTTGTTGAATATTAAAAAATATAATTTTTTGAAAAAAATATTTTACTTTAAAACAAAATGTACAAGGGAAAAACATTTCTTCAGGCAGTGTAGCAAAATGTGGCTCATCTTATGAAATGGATGAACAAAAAACCTCCCTTTTTTTTTTTTTTTTTTTTTTTTTGTTAACGTGAGAACCCTCGTAATTGGTCGCTCTTTGAACTTATAGCTCGTAGGTAAACTCTCGATTACGATGCGAGTAATATGTAAGTAAAAAAAAACACTCCTGTTAATAAGTGACAAAGTTCAATTAGTGTTTCTTCTGCTCCGCAGGTGTGAATGTTGGTACCCATGCTATATTAATTATGATAGGTGGGAAGTTGTCATCAATCTTGTATAAAGTATGCAAAGCTCGTTACAAGAGGACACCATCATAGTTAAAGAGAGGAACACTATTATATTCTTAATTTCTTATAAAAAGGGGACATTATAATGTAGGTTGAAGGACTTTGATTTGAGATAAACAGTTTGAAAAATGCTCCCAAGCCCAAAGATCGACTCATTGGCTTAGTGGTGGTACTTAGCTAGATGGGCCTTTGAATGGTTAGATAATTATTCTGTGTCTCAAAATAAGTGTTCTGTTCACATTTTTGTAAGTCACGATTTTCAAAACAGGATACTTATTTTGAAACAGAATAAATATTATTTTTGATATATCTAGGCAATAACAAAAAATATGAATAATGCAGTGTAATGGAACTCCAAACAATATCTTAAACTAAATAAAGACACTCACAATGGAAGAGAATGACACCAAAAAAAAAACAACGAAGTTCTCTCACCTTGAAAGACTAGGACACCATAATAACGTGGGGGCGCATAAATGTTTAGCATGGATATTGGATAATTTAGTTGGCCAATGTGATGATTCAACAAATCTTAAATTTCGACTTTCAAGTATGACTTTCTCTAACTTTAATTAATGAATAAGAATTACGCGTGGCTAATGTGTTTGTAAGAATTTTAAATTTCAATTATAACTTTCTCTATACACCAAGAAAAAAGAGAGTATGATTTTTTCTAATTTTAATTAATGATTACGAATTATGAGTGGTTAATACATTTGTAAGCGAAAAAAAAAATTTGTAAGAATTAAAGCAAGGTTAACATTGAGCTACTAATTCACCTGGTACAACCTTGTCTACTCATGATTCGCCATATTAGTCGATACGCGACATATTAATTGGTTCATAACTATTTTTCCATATCAATCGATACGTGACGTATTAACCGATTCGTAACCATTTTTCAATGGTCCGATACTGTTACATTTCTCAATGAATCGGTAAGTTTACATCGATATTCACTTGAGTCCGTTACACGTACCGCAACTGCAAACCATGCTTCTACTTTGGAGGGGTGTGCGTGAAGGGTTCAAGCAAGGGCAGAGCCAGGATTGTCTTTCAGGGGGGTGTAGTGTAATTGAAAAAAAAAAAAACCCATACATCAAACTTCTCGCTAAACAAAAATATCAAACATATAAATAATTATTTGATTGCAGAGAGTGTACAAAAAAGAACGAGTAGTGAGGAGTTTAAGACATTTTTAGATGCAGAGGCCGAAGCTTTTCCAAAGCTCTGCCTCGCTTGAATGAAGTCACCACCGGAGGAGATGCATTTGGTTTTTTGGCAATGCAAATTTGTTTTAGGTTATGACTAATTTTTAGATAATGGGTTTATTTAAATAATTCCCTTGCTCTGTGTTATGATTCCCTTGCTTTTACACTGTCCAATGGTCACCTTCTATACCGGCTTTTTGGTTATACAACTTTAACCTTTTGAACTTTGTAAAAACACAAAATAATATATTTTATATTATATGACACTTCCAGAAAATATCACCCCATCCTATCACTAATTTGTGTTTTTTTTTTTGTTTTTGGGGGTACCTCCGCCCCTAGGTTCAAGCCCCATAACGGGCATGTATGGGTGTTGTGGGTTTGTACTTCTAAAAAAAAGAAAAATTATGTTAAGTAGAATGAGAGAGAGAGTTGTACTTTTATAAGGGGTAAATTACACTGGTTTTTTTTTTTAAGATTTGAACAAATTACACACAGTTATATCATTGAATTTTTATTACTTTGATCTCATAGCATTTTTTTTAAAAAAAAGTTTTGTCCAGTCCTTAACATATTCTTTTCAAAAAATGATAATTTTGTCATTGTATTATAAGAAAAATAGATAATAGGCTTATATATTGAAATATAATATATTATTATAAATAAAAATATTACTGACTTTTAATATTCAAAATCTTTTCGAAAGCGAAGGAATGGATTTAAGAATACTCAAAATAATAAAGATTAGACGGTTTACTCCTACTCAAATTTGCCCAAACTTGTAATTTACCCGCCCATTATTCAATTGTAGTTTTTACAAGAAGTATTTATAGAAAAATTGGAGAGTAATTGGCTTAAGCCAAGCTAATAAGGTGGACCACATTGAGGAGCAAGCGAGCCAGAGTGAACACCGACACATTGTAATTCTTTTGGGCCCCACTTGTCACTCAAAGTTAAACTGAGCATGGGCCTAATGAAAATTATAAAGAAGTAGACATGACAACGGACCGACTTTGGGCCCTTCATCTCCCTCATTTAATACCCATTTTGTCATTTTTGCCCCCAAATCGTTTTTCATTCCATTCCTGTTTAATAATTCAAGTACGTCGGCATCATGGTAATTCTTTGAGCGTGACGATGGATGAGACTTTCTTGATTCTGCCCCAAATTTGTGTGGATTTTATCTGTGTCACGCATTCACTCCAACATATTTTTATTAATGGTGCTCTAGTGGTGTCGGATGAGAGTCAGAAACTTTTTGAATACGTGAATACGACTTCAACAGGTATTAGATGATATTTTAAATAATAAATATTTCATTTTCTGTTCAGATACGACTAATACATGGTATAAACATGACAATAATAGGTTTTATTTAATGTAATTTAAAATATATTTGTTTAATTAAAAAAAATTATAGAATTTAAGAAAAAAAATTATTTATATACATATAAATATTTATTATATTAACTCTTAAGGAGTTGGCCCAGTAAAAAAAGCTTGGGCCCCGGAACTTCATTAAGTTTCAGGTCTCAAATTCGATTTTTTTTAAGTGCGAGCAATTCCTTACCCTAGTTATAAAAAATATATATATTATCGTGTCGTACCTATATGTAGACTTATTAATGGATCTGATTCTGATCTGAATCAAATCTGATTAGTCGGATATATATGGATTGAATAAAAAATTCGATAACCCAATTACAATCTGAACTCGATAACCAATTAGCCTAATAAATCGAATACGAATTACACCGACCCGACCCAAATAAAATTATATATATATATATATATATATATATATATTATATTTTATGTATATCAAGTCATCTATCAGACTTGTATTAGAGGTAACAAAATATACTAATATTTTATATTTTATGTATATCAAGTCATCTATCAGACTTGTATTAGAGGTAACAAAATATATATATATATATATATATATATATATATATATATATATAAAACATGTTTTCACCAACATATTAATAAATCTCTTAATATATATACTAATAATGTTATAATAATTCATTAACGAAGAGTAAATGATTTTTTTTTTCTTCTTTTCCTTTCATATTTTATTTATTCTTTGTTTTCTATCCATTTTTTTTTAAAAAATTTCTAATTATTGTTTTTTTATTCTCTTTTGACAGTAATTTTTTTATTTTTTAATAAAAAAATACACCGTTCAAGTCGAGTTATCAGATTGGATATCTATTTATTAATAAATCAAATATAAATTTCACTTAAAAAAATCATTGAATTATCAATTCGGATTGAATTGAGTAAAAGACTCATCAAATTAATCAGATTAAATCTGATCCGAATTCGATCCGGTCGAGACTATATCTAGCATCCAAGCTTCGTAGACTCCATCACTAATAGACAGACAACTTTTGAACAAATACAATCCATAACCCCGCGTGATGATTGGGGGGCCGTCCGTGTTGCATTTACTTCACATCATACTTTGCTGTCTTCTGAAACTCTCTCAAATGAATGGGGCAAATGATGTACACATCCTTGGATTTCCTAAAATTTTCAGAACCGTATGAAGAAAATGTTTTACCTAACTTTAATTTTGTCGCACATAACTAGTGTAAAACCCCTCAAATCACATTAACTTCACATCAATCAAGGAAATATATTTGAGATTAAAAAATATTATATTTTTATTTTTAGTATTTGATTGTCGTAAAATATTTACAAAAAAAAAAAAATTAAAATTTAACAAAATAATTTATCCATAAATTTTCGACAAGTTATTTTACATACCTCGCCCAATAGATTCGATCTCAACCTCGACGCGACATTTACTAAATACCGACAAAGTAAAAATAAAAGAATATTTTACCTGGAAAAAAAAAAAAAAAATTTACAAAAAGAATATTTTACATCGAAATAAACGGAAAGTAAAATATATTTTTTATTTTTTGGTATTTGATAGTTGTAAAATATTTACGATAAAAAAAATATATTAAAATTTAACAAAAATAATTCATTCACTTATTTTCAGTAAATTATTTTATACGCTTTACTTGATGGATTCGACGTCAATCTCGACTTACACCTAAACCTTTAACAAATACCGAAAAAATAAAAATAAAAAATATTTTATTTATAAATAAAAAAATCTTTTTCACAAAAAAAAATTTTAGGTCGAAACAAACCGAGCAGAAAAGCAAGACAGAAAAATAAGTTTACGGCATTTAAAATAAGTCACTATATACAAATAAACCGAACAATTCATGAAAGATCCATCACATGGATCTCCCAATAGTGTTTACAAATACAAATAGTTGAGATGCAACAGTCACGGCTAATGGAGCAAGATATACCGAGAGAGAGCATTACATTCATATAGAATCAACAACCATCAAGACTATAGTTCATAATGGTGCATCATATACCATCAACCCATACATAAATACATATACATAACAACATTGACCTGACAACAAACAAAAGCAGAAACCTATACTAGAAACAGTGCATGCAACATGGTCATGACCATCTTGATGCCACTCTTAAAAGCAAAGCCCATTTTTATTGTGAACTCTCAACATGATCGAGTGAGCTTCCCTAGTTATGCTTGTTGGCAACATTGCACTGTTTTCTGATCTCACCCTTTGTGCCAGTGAGTGGATTGTTCTCAGAGAGAATTGTTAGGGCTCTTGCAAACTCCTTGAAGAAGTAGTCATTGTCCTTTGCCATTTTCTTCACATAGGGCTTTGTTCTCTTGTCCGTAGCTAGTTGATGATCCACTATCAACAACCCCTTGTTGTCCAATATGTTCCTGTAGTAGTTGTTGTCGAAGATCATCGGCGTGCCACGGTCATTTCTCACATACTGCACTGCCCTCGGGTCCGGGATTGCATCCGGGCACTTGTGGAGCATGTGCTCAACATGGTTAGGGTTCAGCACAGGGTCCACCTCTGGGTATAAACGGTGCACCAACTTCACACAGTGGGTTCGCCCCACGCTGTGGGAACCTATGAATCACAATTACAACAACAAATGGTGGAAAATTTTAGCCATTCATGTTGCTTCAATTTCATATGCAAAATTATTGATATAATCCTATGTCACATAACTGCTAGTTGTAATTATAAATGACATCTATGATGCCGTGCTATACATGTAAGCTGTTATGTATATGACTTATGTACCTATTGATAGTGGGCTCTCATGGGACATACACCACTGCAAGGTGTACTCATATATGACATCCATTAAGATATGTAATGGTCCCATGCATTTAATGTCTAAATATACATATATATATATAACATGTATGTGATTGTGTATGTATGAATGAAGACAAATGCTGATGTATTATACCTAGCAAGGCAACAACTCCTGGTGTGTCAATACCCATAGCTCCAAACTTCTCAAGGACGACAGAGATGCTCTCATTGTGGTCTGGGAGGTATTGCTCAAGTACATCTGCTCTGCTCTTCCTACCATCTCTTCTTCCAGTTTTAAGAGGGATGTAAGGACCTCCAAGCTAACAACAAGTTCCAAAATTTATTGAAGTTAATTAGTATGCTAATAAAATTCTTATAATTCATATAAAATATACAAAACATGGAGGACCAGTAAAGGTGTGTTTTTTTTTTTTTTTTTTTGAATGGCCTTACCGGAATGCTTTCTTTGACAATTTTTATTATATCTTCTTCATCTATAAATTATTTCTAAGATGCTATTTTGGGTTATTTTTTATATTATCAAGAGAGCAAGATTTGTTTGTATAAGTGGAATAAGAATATTCAAAAGCCCTTTTGAAATTGGTAGCTTTAAAGGGAAATAGATAAGAATTCTAGTCATAGACTGAAAATTCATATTCAGTACAACATCAAAGAGCAAAGTCCTTGTTGGAGTTTCAAACACCAAAAAAAACATCTGTCAGAGAGAACTGAACTACAAACACACCCATTTAGTAAAACAAAATCAGTTTTTTTAGTACAATTGTTGTAGATCTAGTCCAGATGCAGACATATAGAATTCATATTGAGATAAAACCACAAGTGCGAGCAGAAACGGATTTAGAAATCCATACGAGGAAAAAAATTTATATAGAGAGATTTTTTCATAATTTCAGTGGGAACAGTTTTAAAATTTTATGAATATAAATACAAAAAAAATATAAATTTAAGGGCATAAAATATAATAATAAAACAATTCAGTAGGGGCATATGCCCGTACTGAGCCCATGGTACATCTGTGCCTAAGTACTGAGTACGAGTGATACGAACGGTCAGGCTGTTACAACACACGTGCAGTAACAGTTGAGGATTCAGACATGAACTTAGTCAGGATTCTCTAGAGAACAGATTGTAAGAAAAACAGAGTAAATCAAGGAGTTGAATATACACACAGTCTAAGATTGCTAAATAAAGGGATGAGAAATTGAAGTTACCGAAACAACGCCCTCCCTTGCAGACAAGACAAGGATATCTGAGCAGGAAACAACATCAGGGCACTCCCTCTCAACAGCTGCTTTAATTTCATCAAGATACCTAAAGTTCCTGAGCCCAAAGCTCCTGTCTGTCTCCTTCTCAGACAAGCTCCTCCTTGTTGAGTCCAACAGTAGTGAAGCATCGCATGACTGCTCCCACAAAACAAAACACACATTAATATTCACATAAAAAAGAGTTAGTCCAGTGGACGAGGCTACCCTGCAGCCTTTCCTCCACATACGGAGAGACTGCCTTCGTTATCGTTTCGAACTCGCTATTTATATTCAAGAAAGAAAAAAAGAACGAAAGCAAGACAAAAGGAGTAGTTGTGCAGTATACATACCTCAACAGCACAGTCATGGAAGATGTTTCTTAGCCATGAAAATGCAGTGTTCTTGTGGCGCTTATAGAGAAGCTTGACCTGTTCTCTGATAATGTCTTCGGCTTGAGGACATGTATCTTTGTAGAAGTTCATAACCAGACCTGGGTCCTCATTCTCATCTGCGAAAGCAGACTTGAGAGACACCACTGTGAAGGATAAGACTACTAAGAAAAAAAGAGCTTTGGAACCCATCTCTCTATGTTCACTGATACTGAATTGGAGCACCTGAATAGTTCTTAAATAATGGAAGGAGAGATGAATTTGCTAATATAAAAAGTATTTGCTGACACTTCTTAATTAATCGGAGTAATGACTTTAATTGGAGTTATGACTTTGATGCTTTGGCTTTTATGACATTTGCAATTTTCCTGTAGCATTCACTGCCTTGAGAGAATCAAGTCACGGGTATTTATTACCGTAACAGAGTTCAAAAACTAATTTTAATGGATAATAGTTTTCAAATGTATCAATTTGACAGACTATTCTAAACCCACAATTTCTTTCTTTAGATCGGTTGAAGTCAAAATGTGGTGAATGAGTCTGTGTAAGCACGTGTGCAGGTGGCACTAGGCTACCACATTGGACCAAATGTAAGTACATAAGTTCACATTGGTAAATAGTATATATAGATTCAGTACTTTTTCATAACATAATACTTTTTAAAATCGTAATAACCGTGAATTTATCAGCACTCTAAAATTAAACGTGTTTAACAACTTATCGAATGGTTCACGTGACCATGTCCTTCCAACTTATCGAGTGGTCCACGTGACCATGTCCCTCACTTGTGTGATAATGCCGCGTGTAAGAGAAGCGGGCCGTGATATGTGGAACAGAGGATCTGGACCCAGACTCTTTATGTTGACCGGCTTCATCATAACATCCATCTCCTCCAATCTTTTTACCCTTCAAATTTTAATGTGATTATATTTTATTTGAAAATTGTTGCTTTCGATAATGTATTCTTTAATTACATTGTTTATACAATATGAAAATCTTATACACATTCAGCGTCCATGTGACGGCGCTCCTAATTTATTTTAAAGAATATGTCAAAGTTGATGATGTAACGAAAAATAAAAAAATATATATATAAAATAAAAAAGACTACAAGATTTTCATATATAATAATGTCAAAATTAATTTATGTTTATATAAGTGTGTCAGTGTGGGTGTGGTGTGACAGCAGTGCATTGTAAAGTTAGTACTATCTCCAGTAACTTGGCCTGCAAAATGAATAGATAAACATAAATAGGAATAGTCATTTTTAGAAATTTGAATTACTATAATTTATAGCTTATCTGTTTGTTGTACGATTATATTTAATTTTCTATTTACTGAAAGTTGTTTAGAGGGAACATCAAGCAACTTAAAAAGTAATGAATAAATTCAACACACATGTGAGAGAGCTCAAACTGAGGACATCTGTCTCACTTCACAATTTAAATGGACACAATTAGATATTATAAGAAATTATTGGATGGCCCTCGTTACAGCTCATGTTGGAAAATTATTAGATGGTATGTGCTTCCCTTCAATCACTACTCATGTTCAATTTTTTTAATATTTTGTGAGTAATGTTATCAAGAGTTTTTCAAATTTAAGTCTAAAATGATAGATGTATTAAATAATTTATTTAATTTTTTAAAAATTATAAAAAAAATTTATCTCAATTTAATTATTAATAATAAAAAGTTCGTAGTCTTATCACGAAGGAACTCTTATCACGAGAAATTTTCATAATAATTATTTCTATTTTATTAAACTTTTTAAGTATACATTTTTCTAATTAAAAAATTCTGATTGAATCAGAACAGGAAAACATCTAATAGTTTCCCTCCATGTGCTAAACTGGATTACCTTTAGTATGAAAATTAGCAAAAGAAAAAAGTTATGTTACCTTTCACTTTCAAATTGGGGAAACCCAAAATAAATTAATTTTGCATTATTACAAAAGAGGAATTTGCTTTTCAAAACTTTTACAAGTTGATTAGGAGAAGATACAAGGAAGATGGCTAAATTAGGATGTGACCGATTTAAAGATCCACTTCTCATGATTAAACACTTGGCAATTTTGAGGACAGATTTTGTAATTTCACATGGCTGTTCAAAGTTGAGTGACAAAGTTGAAGATAGCCTCTCATTGTTGAAGATCATTAAGTGACAAAGTTGAATTTGTGGGTATCTACGATATACTATATAATTGTGGTGGGTCAGAAGTTGTCATCCATGTAATATAAATTATGCAAAGCTCATTGCAAGAGGACACTAATAGTTAAAGAAAGGAAGACTATTATATTCTTAATATCTTATTAGAGGGGACAAAATAATTTAGATTGAATGACTTTGATTTTGAGTTAAACAATGAGAAGAAGGCGCCCCCAAGCCCAAAGATGGACTCATAGGCTCAGTGGCACTTAGCTATATGGCTCTTTAAGCTTTCCCTATATACCCTCTCATTGGATTTGTAATTGGACATTGAGATGTTAAGGGCACTTCTTCTCTTATCCTCTTTATCGTAAAGTTGAAATGAATTGATAGTGTAGAGTTTGATAAATATTGTATATTAACACTCAATTCTGTTCGAAGGTTGGGGTTTGAGGGCTTGCCCACGACTCTAATTTTTGAAGGATATTTAAGTAATTTTCCTACTTGTCATTTTGCTCTAGTACGATGGTATATATTCATTTTGAACTCTCTGTATCCACTGCTGTTTTTATTATTATAGTGAAATCTCTGCAACCCTTTGGACGTAGCCTTGAATTTTGGGTTAACTACGTAAAATTTTTGTGTTCTTATTGTGTGTGTGTTAGATCTCTTTATTATATTTTTTATTTAATTTCGCAACCGTTTATTGAGTGTTTTATTATTATTATTATTATTATTATTGGAATACTCTTGTTTTTGGCTAGAAAACTAAATTATTTATCAAAATATATGGATAATTCAATGACGTGAAACTCCAAACACTTTCTCAAACTAAGATGACATTTTGACTAAAATCTTAAAGTGGTCTGATTATTAAAAGAAATTATTAGCTCCATATCAATTGCAAGGAAGTTATATATATTTTTCATTCTTTTCATTTGCAAATTGAAAGAGTAACCTTTGGAAATGATTCTTGATCTAATATGTTATTCAATGAGAACATGAATTCATTATTATTTTATAATCTACCTAATATATGCTTAATTAGACTAATATACAAACTTTAATTAAGTGGGGGTGCATAAAATGTTCTAACGTTGGAGTCGTTACCTTACTCGCAAAATGTATAAGAGTTGAATGTCTCTGATTTTCATCCGCTATATCAATTTTCTTTTAAGATGGACAATTTAGTCAAACGATGTGATGATTCAATAAATTTTATATATTAACTTTTAAATATGACTTTTTTTTAACTTAATTAATAAATAATTATTGTAAATACGATTTATGAGTGGTTAATGCATGTGGAAGAATTTTAAATTTCAAGTATGACTTTCTCTAACTTGACCTAACTAATGAATACGAATTATGAAGGCTTTAATACATTTGTGTTGTACTCGAAGTCATACAATCCTCCTCAATGAGTATCGCTTTCATGCTCATAGCACGCCCTGCACGCGTTTTTGCTCCTATTGCCGCTATTTGTGATTTAATTTTGTCACTTTCCTCCTCCCATTTTTGAATTTTTTTTTTACTTTCGTTCTTACTTTACGTGACTAGGTTGTACTCTTACAATGGTTTTATTGGATTGTTACTTTTGATAAGTACATTTTGTACGTGGTAAAAAATGGATAAGCCAAGCTGATAAGCTGGACCTGGGTGTGGAGCCTGCGAGCCATAGTGACCACCGACACTTTCTATTCCTTTGGGCCCCACTTCTCACTCATAGGCGTTGCTAAGCTCGGCATGGGCATTTTGGTCATTTTGTCCGAAATTGTTTAGCCTCCTTCCCATTTCAGTTTCTGTTTAAATTATTTTTCTCCATCCTCCCTGTCCATGTCGCACCACGCCTTACTCAATTATTTTTTTAAAAAAAATTATTTTCAGTGTTTTTTTTTAATAAATTATTAATGAGAGTAAATTCAACATAAAAATAATGTTTTTGCTGTAAGAGTGTTTTAAAAAAATGAGAAACGCATTTGGAAATAATATTTTAAGCGTTTTGTTTTTAGCCCGTGTCACGCTACTATTATGATTTTGGGTCATGAATAATTGTCAAAATGAGAAAAAATAATTTTTTGGTATTTTAGTTTTGGAACGTTGTTTACAAAATGACTCATTTGACATGCGTTTTGTTTTAGGCATTTTGTTTTTGGTTAAAACAGAAACAACGTTTTTGCTGTACGAGTGTTTTGGAAAAAAATCGAAAAGTACGTTTGGGAATGATGTTTTGTTGTGAAATGTTTGGACCATGTTGCGATATTGTTATGATTTTGAGTCATGAACATTGTCAAAATAAGAAAAAATATTTTTTGGTATTTTAATATTAGGCCACTGTTCACGAAATATTTTAGTACTGTGTAAAATAAAATAAGACCAAACTAAACATGCTTTTGTTACCAAAATTGACAGTAGCCCAAAAATAAACAAAATAACACCAAATATACTTTTGTTTTGTAACCAAAATTAACACAACGCATGCCACCAAACGAGAAAATTAGGAATTGACATGGGAGAATACAAAACTCAATTAATATACTTAATGAGAATTCAATTACTGTAGTATATTTTAATATATTTTTAAATAAAGTAGACCGGTCTGACCGTAAATTTGGAAAAGAAAAAAAAAATAATCTATGCGTGATCACATCGATTGAATGAAGTTAATTATTTTCTCTGTCTCACATTAGAGGTCCATTTTTAGAAATGGGAGTTTTTAAGGAGACATAACTTTAATGCATTGTCTCTTTTTAAAATTATCAATTTGTCCCTTCCTAATTTAAATATATATAATTATAAAATTTGAATTTTTTAAAAAAGATAAAAGATAATGATGGAAATATAAAATTTATTTGTTTTGACTTTTAAAATGAATACCTAATTTAGAAGATATAAAAAGAGAATAATAGATTATTAATATAAGACTGAGGGAGTACAATAAATAGAAACTCGGGTTACTGGGCGGGATTTCAAAATGGTACAGAGTACCAAAAACTGAGATTGACTGTCACTGCATTTAAATTTCTTTTCATTTCGGCTGCAATAAACGTGTGTGTGTATTTTTTTTCCCTGAAATGCGCTGAGCTTGTAAATTTCTCAATTTTACGTCAAAATTTTATGTCAAAACCACCTTTATTCAGTTCAAATAATGCTTGATTTGAATATGAATTTATAAAAACAGAATCCAATTTATTAATTTTATTTTTAAAAAATAATATATATTCTCATAATAATAGAATTTTGACGTTATTCTATACTACATATCCAACACAATTAAAGAAGTCAAAAAATTCTGTCAAATTTGGCCTTATCAGATGCTTATCTTCCACATTCGTACAGGAATCCATAAAAATTAATAGCCATCTGAATTGGGTAACATGCTCATTCAACTCACACTGATATATAAATACAGCATATACATATATATACATAAAAATTTCAAGCTACTGTTCATACTAAATGGCAAACTAGCACATCATGTGAATTTGGATGCATACTTTCAGATATTCATGTTCAATTTAGTACCACCCACCAACTTGAAATCTGGAACCTGGTGCTTGTTTATTAAAGAATATCCAAATTGCAGTACAACGTGGCGTTTTGTACTTCAGTGAATGGCTATGATCATTTTACATAGGTAAAGTGATCATAGTCGTTCAATGCAATAGAACACTGGTGCTGTCCTTGCTCATGAAGGTGAAGCAACATTCAATAATTCAGTCCTGGGAGGTGCTGTCCTCGCTTGTGAAGGTGAAGCAACGTTCAATAATTCAGTCCTTGGAGGTTGGGGGTTGATAGAAATGGGTGTGGGGTTGGCATGTTTGATGCTTGCCATGATAGCTTTAAGGCTTGGTTTTGAAGTTGGGACTTCTCAAATATATATATATATATATATATTAAATTGTCATTTTATTATTATTATTATTATTTTCAATTTTTAAACAAAATGTAGGACCATCCATTTATTTTTAGTTTCCAAATGCCGGCACTATGTTCAAGTTCTAAACCAATTGACTAAAGAATTTAAAGAACATTTTTTACTAATTTCTTAATCTATATTTTTCCAGACTCTAATTCCAAAACCATGAGCAGCTAAATTTTATAGTTACCGTGTCATTCTTATTCACCCACTGATGGTTCAATAATAATATGTAATTATAAAATTATGAAAGAGATAAATAAGGATAATAATTTTTTTTTTTTTTTTGAAATAAATTCAGTCACCTTTCTTGTTTTCTTTATTTATTATTTTCTTAATTTTATAATTATAAATTATGTGTGTATTTATAATTGGACCACAACTGATTAGGCAAATCTTACCTAAATTATATAATTCAAAACACAAAATTAGGCTATATATAAGTAGTGCATATATATATATATATATCAACTATTATTATGATATTACGCTTCGTATGAATAAATTTCTAGCTGGATGTACAAGGCATTATTTTCGTGTGTGTGGGTGTGTGTGTATATATATATATATATGCACTATTATTATGAAATTACGCTTCGTATGAATAAATTTCTAGCTGGATGTACAAGGCATTATTTTCGTGTGCGTGTGTGTATAAAAGGTATGATTAATCTGCCATATGGACAATCAAATTATATTTTAATTTAAGGCCCATCTCACGACGACATTGAGTTGTGGGAATACATTTTGAAATTTGCAACATGAAAACCCAGTCCTTCAGTTCTATTATATTGGCTTAATAAGTGTGTGTATATATATATATATATTTATTTATTTATTTTCCTGTCTAACACGTCTCGTGAAGCAAAATAAATATATGAATATAGTAATAAGATTGCAATTTGCAACACGGAATTGTAGGGGTTAGTCTTGACTCAATCTAAACATAAACATAATGAAACTAGACTCAGTTCAATTGTCAACTCACACTATGCGTGCACTCCAAGTTTAATCCGTTTTTAAGTATTTAAATTCTGATTAGAAAATATCATAACGGAATTTAGATTGATTTCAAGTTGATTCAATTAATTTTACATTATAAAAATTGAAAAATAAAACGTCCCCATCAAAAAATAAAAAATGTTGAAACCCAGAATTCTGAAAGATGTTGAAGTTTCTGAAAAAAAAAAAGTTGGATTTAAGAAGGTTAGGTACCGTTTTAGGAATCAAAATATGTAGTTTTTTTATTTTTTTTCATTTCAAAATAAGAGATAGAAGGTTCGAGTCTCTTAAAAAATATATATAAAAAATAGGGACCGTATTAGTGTCAGCTGAGCAACGGATTTGTGAATAAATATCACCGTTATGTTCGGATTAATATGATTTTTCACTTCCAAGCTATGATTCGAATCAATCTTAACAATTTTATTATTTTTTGAACCGAAATCGTACCGTTGAGTCATAAAATTAAACCGAATCGTGTGGTTTAGATTAATTCGAATTGCAGTTTGAAGAATTTTGTGTGCAGCCTTAGTCATTGTTTGTAATAATCCGTTACACCATGTCATCGTTGCAATCCAATGGTAAAGTAAGGAATGTGTTAGTGGTTTTTGAGAAGAGACATTATGGGCTTGTCCAAAAACTGAAGTGACAATGGCTTCTTGGCCTATTTGGAAACTGGATTGGGCCACATGTTGGGCTTATCCTGTGATGCCTCCCATTTGCTGCTTGACCAATTGTCAATAATAGGCCGTCAGAATACTATTTTATTTATTTATTTATTTATTTGCTTTTTTCTTTTTTCAAAAACCCGAATAACCAATAATTTGAACATGACATTTGTTGGCTTAATTTTATAAATCTCTTTATTTTTTTTGGAAATCTGTATTTAGTGTCTTATCGGTATAAAAATAAATTTGAAGATGTTGCTCTTTCCATATATTTTCATCAGATTCTTTTATCTAGCTTTATTAAATTCATGCCTTTCCCCCACCCACCCACACAAACACACACAAGACAAAATAGCAATCTATTTTTCATTAAGTAGTGATATTTGACACGCATAGTTAGGCAGAAATATTAGATAATTATTTTTAAATATAAAAAAACCAAACCTTTTACTTCCTTATCTCATGCATTAATAACCAATTAATTATATTCGGTCAAATAATTTTGTAACATTCTTTGACTCTAATATCATTAGGCTATGTTTGACAAACATGAAATTAAAATTGATGAAATTGGAGATAAGCAAATTAAAAAATTAAACCAAAATTTCTTCCAATTTTATCAATTCCAATTCCAATTCCAACATACTATACATCATGTCATTTATTTTTATAACTAACTTAGCATACATACTTAAAGACGTTTTTGGAGATTAGTGTGACTCAAAAGGTAGCACAAAATAAGAAAAAAATCTAAAAACATAAGTGGTAAAAAAAAAAAAAAAAAAAAACATTTCAATTGTGCAATAACTCTACAAAAGAAGAATTTGAACTGAAAACATAAAATATTTAAATCTAGACGTGTATAGTGTGTAAAAGGCTTACAATTACACAACTATATATTAATCATATGCTAAACAAACTATGCACAACAACATGGTAGGTCTAAATCATCTTAATACATCACTTGAATCCTATATACGAAACGAAAAAAAAAGGCTAACGCGCCCATGCATGCTAAAACAAACTACGCAAACTTAGATTTGCGGATTTTTTTTTTTTTTTTTCTACCAGTTTTTAAACCTTAACACGGGACTTATAAGCATGACCAGCTAAGTCATGATTTTTTACTTGATGAAGTATATCTTGAAGTCCAGTATTTTTCAATCTCTTCTGCTGATCTTCCCGGAATTCTTCCGGCAATCAGAGACCACCTGCTTCATATATATTACATGGTCAACTATATTACGTTGTAATCAATATGTATTAGTCAAGATAGTACGATCTCTCCTCTCCAAAGAGGATATTGAGTGTTCAAAAACCATTAAAGTTTATATTGTGGGTGCGTGCAATTTGCTTGAACTTTTCGGAATATATATATATATATATATTGCTATTATATAAGTTAATAATCACTAACCTCTCTCCAACCAATCTAAACATCCTAGCTATGAGCATTTCTTCATCTTCAGAGAATTCTGGCTTTGAATCCGGATTTGTTGCTTCTACAAGAGCAAATTACCAAGAACATTAGACAGGAGAAATCGAAAACAGAGATGGGAGTAGAGTGAAATAAGATTAGAAACCAAAAAATTGAAATGTGTACCTTTTTTATCCTCATTATTGGAGGTGTGGTGATGATCCAAGTCCCCCATTTCTTCACAAGCTAGAACTCTGTGGAAGTCAATAAAGGTCTACTAGTTGTATGTGTTATATATATATATATGAAAGGAAAATGAATGGCATTTATATAGATTTGGAGGAGACAGAAATGGTGGTTGAGAAGATAAAGACTGGTAGTTCTCAATTATGATAGGTTGTTGGAGGTGTAGTTCGTTGAGTTGGCCTTTTATGTCTAAAAGAACAAACATAAACCATCCAAGTGCATATGCAATGTCTTTTCTTTATTACTATAATGTTTATCTTCCTAATCATTATCTATATTTTCTCTTTGTATGCTACTCTCTCTCTCTCACACACACACACACACAGTAATAATGCCAGCACATTTTACCTTATCCATAAACTGAAGTGGAGTCCAGTGACCACCCACATCCATTGCACCACTTTTTATGTCTTCAAAAATATATATGGTTTGATCTTCTACCACCATTTTGTTATTTCGTATAGTGTTTTTTCATGATTAACATGTATACAATATCCAAGAGAGTGCGTGTTTCCTGATCGATCTTGATTGATGGAATGTATATTAATTGTATGTTTGAATCATGATTATCATCATGAGCTGTTTCCTGGATTTATCTGTATTCTGTCGTGTACGAATGGACACATTATCTGCAAAAATTATCGTGTTTTTCAGAGCAAGGTTATTTGATAAATTTTCATTATATTCCACGAAGTAAGCACATTTAATTTTTTGTTCTTGTCTTATGAAGAGCCGTCATATTAAATTTGATGTTAATCTTAATTCTGATTTAGAATTTAAATCTAAACCTGATTGGATCAAATTAGATCCATTTTGTATTTGTAGGAGTTTGAAAAAATAATTAATATTACTAATATGTTGAAAGAATGTAAGAAAGAGGTAGGGAGGGGTGACTGGGAAATTGTACAGACAATGGGACAGGCGCCTTGGAGTGATGTCGGCAGGTAGCGCCCATGGCGCGTCTGTGGAGTGCCCAGTGGTGGCCGGGGAGGAGGGGCGCCTTAGTACGATACCCCTTGAGGGGGTGCCCGTACTATATAAGGCATCATATAAAACATATACATTTACTTACGTGTTATCATGTGATCCAGAATTATGTTATAATTTATTATTATTATTTTGGACAAATTATAAATTATTGACCCATTACTTCATTGGTCATTTATAACATTCTTATATCTTGTCGAACTTTTGTCACGTGTCAGTACATCATATGTCAATGTGTTCTATTATTTTTATAATCCTAACGTGAACGCTACATCTGAATAAGTCATGGGTTGTCATATGATATTATTATATCATATGCCCTGGCGAGCTTCTTGCTCAATCCGGCCTCAATAACTCTTTTTTTACATGAAGAAATTATTAAATGATTTTCAGACTAATTATATCAAACACGGACCAATCACATGTTATAAATAACCAATAAAGTGAGTCAAGTGGACTGGGCAATAATTTTTATATAATCGTCCTATTATCTCCTTGCCTAAATTCTCTATCATACCCTCTCATACTTTCACTTTCTTCCCTTTGTATTGTATTGGAAATACCTGTCTTTCAAAATCTAATCCTAATTTACATAGTATCAACTCAAATATGACTAAGTTATAATATATTTTTCTTTTTAGATATTCTACAAATAATTTTAAAAATTGGATAAGTTTAGTAAAATAATAATGTGGAATTACTTAGCTGTAAAATTTTGCAATTATAACATACGGACTAGTCTAATAAAAAATAAAATAAATATAAAATAAACAGACAAAAAAAAAATATTATTTATTTATTTATGGGTCTAAGCTTTGGACTCAACTTTTTGTACTATTATTATACTTGATTTTTTTAAAAATAAATGACACAATTACTTTCAAAAAGTGAAGGTTAAACTACAATGACCTCCTTCAGGTTTGACTCAGTAATAAATAAATATGAAGTTTCTTATTTTTTTTGTAACAAGTCCCCTGAGGTTTGCTCCATTTTGCAAAGACCTTCCTTTCAACAAAATCAGTAGTTTTTGTTAGGAAAAATAGTTAAAGTTAAAATACCTTGCAGCCATTAGATAGCTAACAATATGTGAGTGTATTTTTATCCTTTGGATCTATGAAGCTCACTTATGCGTCTTTGGTAACCATATGTGAATTAGATGTTGTTCAAAAAATAATAAAACTGTTAAGATTGATTCGAATGGTGAGAAATTACAGATCTTGATTCCTAAAAAGGTTACCTTCCACAAAAAAATAAAATAATAAAATAATAATAATAATAGTTAAAGTGACCAAAGAGCATTAATTAAGTTAAAAAGACTGTTACCCTTATACTGTCGTCAAATTACAAAAATAATTATTCTAAAGGACAAAAATGCCCTTCTCTCTCTTCCTCTCCCTCTATTGCCCATATATATATATACAAGAAATTTATATATACATATATATATGTAAATTATATATGAGGAATGCTAAAGACAGTCGCCTTAGCGACTGCCCATTCACAGTCGTTGTTCTTATTGGTGAGTAGAATTGTAATTAATGCCGTCATTAATTATAAGTTTTCAATTTTTTATGTAATATTAAAATTATTTTTTTAAGGACAAAACAACCTTTTTAAGCCTTTCATCAGTCTCCTAAGTTCTCACTTGATGACGTTTACATATATAGTGTGTATATATATATATGTAAAACGTCACTTATGCCAATATATGTATATATAGATATATGCATATATATATATAACGTTACTTTTCTTTTCTTTTTTTTCTTTTTTTTTTTCCTTGTTAGATCTGTATGGATTACTTTCCTTTTCTTTTTCCTTGTTAGATCCATATGCCAGTTTTTATAAACATGCAATCCTCAGAAAAAAATACACTCACATATTGTTAGCTATATATATATATATATATATATATATAAACACCAATATGTGAGAAAGGCAAATGAAAGGGATAAGGGTAGTTTTGTCCATAAAAATATATATTTTAATGTCTTATAAAAAGTAAAAAATATTTAATTAATAAAGCCATTAATTACAATTCTACTCACCAATAAGAACAGCATTGTGAATGATCAGTCGCCTTAGCGACTGTACTTACCCTTCCTCATTATATATCGCTCATTGACTTTACACACACAAGCATTAATGCAACTGCCGTGGAGAGAAAATCACATACCAAAGCAATATACATATCTAATTCACATATGGTTACCAATACTAATTGTAATATTTATAAATTGTGTGTGTGTGTGTGTGTATATATATATATATATATATATCTAATTCACATATGGTTACCAATACTAATTGTAATATTTATAAATTGTGTGTGTGTGTGTGTGTGTGTGTATATATATAAAGAATTCTTTTAAGCCATGGGACCCACAAAAATGTTTTAACCATTATAAAGGCCATAAGGCCATTACACAGAATCATTGTTTTCTCTCTCTCTCGGCAATGTTTTCTCTCTCTCTGTAACATTGTTTTTTTCTTTTTCTTTTCACCATTCAAAGCTTGATCCCTCATTTATCTTTGAGAATTTGGTAGAACCTTATGAAACAAAGTTAGAGAGCTCGTCGAGGCCGTCGATTTGATAGGAGCCAATCACCATTTGGCCAAACTTAGGGATTTCGAAATTAGGGCTTGGATTTAGGAATTTTGGGGGTTTTCACTTCCATTGAGGTAAGGGTGTTCTAATCTACAATTTCTTGGGTCTTTTGTGAATTTTACCCTTAAATTTGATCTTAAGCATGCTAATTTTGATTACCTAGTTTGTGGTTATTGTAAGTATGATTAATCAAAATGATAAACATGTTCTATATGTTATTTGAATTCATATACCTAACTAAATGGCTTACCTGTCAGCAGGTGAGACGTCAGTATTGGTGGAATGGAATGAAGAAGGACGTTGCACAGTTTGTGGCTAAGTGCCTTACTTGTCAGCAGGTGAAGGCCAAGCACCAGAGACCAGCTGGTTTATTACAGCCATTGCCGGTAGCGCTAGGGATGGCAACGGGGCGGGTTTGGAGCGGGTTTACCTAAATCCATCCCCGCCCCATTTAATTAATGGCAATTCCATGCCCGCCCCGTGCCCCGCGACGGGTTAAATTTTTATATCCATCCCCGCCCCAACGGTATAAAAATTATTCTCATATCCATTGTTGAAGGGACGGGACGGGGCGGAGCCCCGGCGGGGCGATAAAAATTGCCACCACTATGTTTTAATATAAAAACCCTGGAAATGGCATAACATATATGAATCCCAATAAAAATAAATAAATAAATAGCATACTCGTAGCATAATTCAAAGAACATAATCAACAAAAATAAGGGTTTAATACAACCAAATCATATCCGTTATTAATATTATATAATATATATATAGTTATATGTTTAGCGGGGCGGGGCAGGGCGGATATGAATCAGAACCCGTTCCCGCCCCATGACCCTCGACGGGTACAAAAAATATATCCATACCAGCCCCAACGGTATAAAAATTGTTCTCATATCCGTTATTGAAGTGGCAGGACGGGGCGGTAAAAATTGCCACCCCTAGGTAGCGCAGTGGAAATGGGAGGAGATTGCAATGGATTTTGTGACGAGTCTTCCTAGGTCACGGAGGGGAAATGAAACCGTAATGGTCATTATTGATAGATTGAGGCAATAAATGACGCAGAAGCACTTGATGTACTTTATGTGAAAGAGATTGTAAGATTGCATGGAGTTCCAGTGGCTATTGTTTCAGATAAGGATGCCAAGTTCACCTCGAAGTTCTTGGAAGGACTTCAAGCAGCGCTTGGCTCAGTGTTGCACCTTAGTATTGCATTCCATCCACAGACGGACGGCCAGTCGGAGCGTACCATCCAGATCTTGGAGGATATGCTTTGGGCCTGTGTACTTGACTTGGGTGGTAGTTGGGAGGATCACCTTCCACTTATTAAGTTTGCCTACAACAATAGTTATCAGGCGAGTATTCAGATGGCTCTATTTGAGACGTTGTATGGCAGACCTTGTACGTCTGCTATTTGTTGGACTGAGGTAGGCGAGACAACCGCCTTAGGACCCGACATTGTACTCGAGACTACCGAGAAGATTAAGCTT